TATTTCTTTGGCGTCTTTCAGGAATCGTGTCGAAATCATTGTTCCCAACCTATGGGCAGGTTTGAACGTAAGTTGAACCATATAACAAAATTGTCCATGCAAAATATCGAAGGATACATCGCTTAGATGTTATATTATAATTGTATTTATTTTACGATAGCGTATCCGAGAACGAATGAGGAAGCTGGCGCAAATGTCACTTTACACTGTAAAGGAATGAATATGCTAACAATTAAATATAATCTTGGAAGCTACATTATCCAGCAAAGCGTTTCTGATGATATTTGGGATGCAGCTGTAGTGGTAAATTATATAGTTTTCAACGATTTTTCACATCATTTTGTATTTATGCTTTTGTATTTATGTGTGTCGTAAGCGTTACTTGACTCTTATATTGCTCGAAAAGAATAGGAAATGGAATAGATTTTAAACACTTTAGAGTTTAGAATCGATCCTACTATTCAAAAAAACCAAGCCAAATAAATAATAAATGATATGATGCGTTCTTCTTTTCCGTCCTTTTTTTCCACATTCGCGAAGGAATTATTTTACGCAAGAGAAAAAAATAGTATGTTCTGTTAATCAACCGAAAAATTTGTACGAATGTTCTCAATTATGAAGTAATGCATCTTGCGTGCGCATCTTTTGCCTTTTCTTACAAAATAAATTTTTTCCGTAGCATAACGATGGCGGGTCGACATTTTTTAACTTGGCACCAAACACTCTTTATCGTTATCGTTTACATAAAGTAACACGGCGCGGCTTTTCATTAGCTGAAACATCTGATTGGTTTTCAACTTATGCAGGTAATTTTTAAGGTTAATCTTTAAATCTGTTTATCTTCAATATTGCAATATATTCCAAAAGTTAATTTATCCATAAAAATAATTGCTCTATATATTCTTCTGTCCATTTATCCATAAAAATAATTGCCCTGTATATTCTTCTGTCCATTTATCCATAAAAATAATTGCCCTGTATATTCTTATACGTATATTCGAGATTAAGCTTTTAATATTACAATTTTTTATTCTTACCGAAAATCAATCAAAATCAATATTTATAGTTGATTACCAACCACGCCAAATTGAGCACATTTCACTTGTAAAACTTGAAGAAGAAAATACAAACATGTGCGAACTACGAGCAGAAATTGTTTTTGAACCCGTTGAAGGTAACACTTGACACACGCACACGCACACGCACATGCGCAAATTTAATTAAAATATAATTAAAATATAATTATACATATATATTTTTCATTATTGTATTTATAGAATTATTGTTACCTTTTAGATCAGAGTTGTAATTACAATATATTGTCTTGGTCAGGGGAACATGATTTAATCAACTTTGATTTAAACAAGGTGAGTGAGTGAGTGAGTAAGTGAGTGAGGAGGGGGAGAGAGAGAGAGAGAGAGAGAGAGAGAGAGAGAGAGAGAGAGAGAGAGAGAGAGAGAGAGAGAGAGAGAGAGAGAGAGAGAGAGAGAGAGAGAGAGAGAGAGAGAGTAGTAGAGAGAGAGTAGTAGTAGTAGTAGTAGTAGTAGT